GCGAGCTACAGATCAGAAGCAATGTATGGAAGACAAACTTCTCCAGAAGTTACCCTTTCTCTGATAAAATGTTTATCCACTTCAATGTGCTTAGTCCGGTCATGCTGGACTGGGTTATGGGCAATATTAATTGTTGCCTGGTTATCACAGTATAGCATCATGGGTTCTTCTGCCTGTACACCAATTTCTTCTAACAGAGAGCAGATCCAGAGAAGTCCTAAAACTCCATGTGCCATGGCCCTATATTCGGCTTCAACACTTGATCTTGCCACCACTATTTGTTTCTTACTCTTCCATGAGACTAGATTACCCCCAACTAGGGTGCACACTCCTGAAGTTGATTTCCTGTCATCAAGGCATCCTGCCCAATCTGCATCTATATAAGCCTCTAGTTTCAACTGTCCATGATCAGTGAATATGCCTCTGCCCGGGTGTCCCTTCAGATAAGCAAGAATCCTGTCAACTGCCTCCCAATGCTGGACTCGTGGAGCATGCATGTATTGTCATACACCAGGCAGGACTTGAACCGCGCCTTACAAAAAACTCCAAGGAACCCTAAAAAATTAGGGCGCCACTTCCTAGGTAAAAAATGAAGAGTCCAACAAAAACAGGACTCTTCCCCTTTCTCCAGTTTTTCCTGATTCTGATGAGAAACCCTAGACCAACTACAAGGCACACAGATCCATCAAGAAAATCCAAAAACTGGGCTTACCTGAGAGCTTCGATCAGCCTCTTAAATCACCATGCAGTCGGCCAATCTAGGGCTGCATGAGAGAACAACTTCAAGAACCTTCGGCCTGCTCTAATACCAAGTAGAAATCACTATTTGCTGATTCAGTCAAGCTTCTTGTGAGAGAAAGAGGGGGAAGGTGAAGATTTCAGCAGTAGAGAAGGAAGGAGAAGAAGAAAAGAGTAGGAGGTCAACTAGAATTATGAGAAAGTTAACCCTAGCTGCCTACCTCTCATTATATTTATAATTAACTTAAAGATGAGATATTACAAGGATGCCCTTAGTAGGGCGGCTACTAAAACTAAACAGTCACAACTTAAAAAAATATAAACTAATGGGCCTAGGCCCAACAACTTCCTAACTAAATAAAAACAAACTAAAATAAAACCGGGCCACTCAACATATACCAAACATCCCTCTTATAATATATGGTAAAAATAACATATAATGGGAATAATGCTATTTTTTTGAATAAGGTGAAATATTATATTATATTAGTATGTAAAAAGTAGGTATATCAATCCATGTACATTGAGATACTATGCAATGGGAATATACAAACAAGAAACAAAGGAAAAGTCATCCAAAAAAGAATTAAACCTAAAAATGATGGATCCATACTTGTATGGGAGGACTGAGGAGAACCAAGTTAGGAGGAAGATGGTGAATTTTCCATCAGTTTCTAGAATGCAAAATTTGCATCACCAATGAGTGTAAATTTTGCATTAGGTAGGAGTACACATCATGGTTACAAACAAACATATGCAAATCTGAATCAGGTGAAAAATTTGTATCCAGCTCAGATTTGCACTGCAAACAAACAGAACCTTATACACATCCTCAAGAAAACCATCTGCTTTTCCCTAAAAGACAATCAAGGTTTCCATCAGACAAGTCGTTCAAACACTTCCAATTTAGTGTTGTAAGAAATATTGAGAGGAACAGGACACTCATTCATTGGGTATCATGGGGATCAACTAGATAAAAAATCAGCTGAGACATGATAGCAACTGTTGCATTTAATTACTCATATACACAGTGCAACAAAGAACTATAACAACTCCTAGAAATCTCAGGAAGTAATGAATAAGTGAGATGCATAACAGTTATCCGATCATTTATTTTTTTGATGAATTATCCGATCGTTTATTAAAAAACAATTATCTGATCATGCTTATTTTTGGTGTGGAGGGACGCTCTCCCTGGTGGGTCCTATCTGATGGCGGGTCTTAATTGTCTCAATAACATGTGGAAAGATACAGGATCTCTAAACTGCAACTAAAGATCATGTAGCTCCAGACCCAAGGCACTCCTAAGAAAATTAAGGGGTAAGGGCTATGGTAAAAATGTGATATATGGTCAAGACAGTATACATATCATTGATCCAAAAATTTGTTTATCAAACAGAAAACACTTTTCCAAAATATATAGGAAGCATATGAGGTAGAACTCAAGTTATTCCTTTGTTATGCAGACATCTATAAACATTAACAAATAGAGTGAATATGGCAAATTAACTCCAGAATCATAATATATTATGAAGAAAAAAAGTTCCCTCATACCTTCCAAAATATAGTGTCTTTATGACATAGGCACTGACAAGACCTACCTGTTGCCACAGACTGCCTGGTTAGATATCAGTCTAATAAGATATCACAAAAAACAGCTAATTATATCTTAAAATTTGTGGCAGTAGAGTTAATTCAAGAGTTAAAACTTAAATCAATAGGCTCAATGAGTTCACTTGGGTGATTGAATTTTGATAAGTTAAGGTTTTCTGAAATTCAGTTAGAATTTATTCATCAACGATCAGTAGTATGAGATAAATCTTCAAAGCTCACAAAAAAATAAATGGGCAAAGTACGCTGATTTTTAATTCATGAATGCAGAAAAAAAAAAGATGAAACGTTATGAGTTGGAAAGAGGCTAGAAGTCTTCTTTAAAATTACGGAATTGAAATATGCTAAGACTTCATTGCAGTAGTTCTGAGAAATTCCATTCATTTTAAAGCAAGGGATGTAAGTAATGCAGAAAAAATCTTTGAAGAAACGAGAAACCTAGCATTTGTCTATTCATATATGGATCTCTCTTGGATAATCTGATTAGACTCGAGGTGGTTAAAACAAATTTCTGAACCATGCTTGTAGCTATCTAAACTATAGTAACTTAAAACCAAAGAAATAAAAACTTACTGTGATACCAAGAATGGTACTTGTAAAGAAGAGGTACAGAAAGGTTCCCAACAATTTCAAGGCTATGAGAACATCAATGTTGCTGAAATCAAGAGTTTGGACTGCATTAAAAAGTACAATAGAGGTGGCATCGTTCACTACTCCTTCCCCAAATACGAGACTGTAAAGTAAGGGGGTTTCATCTTGATTGAGCACCTTATACATGAGAAAAAGATGAGATAACATGTATCAGTAATTGTGTAAAACTGGTCATGCTTTAGATTTATGTATTGTTAGAGGTACCTGCAATGTGCAAACTGAATCCGTGGCTGACAAGATAGCACCAACAGCTGCAAGTTTACCAAACTCTTGTGCTCAATAAACAAATAACATTGGAAAGTGGAAGGAAAATATTTGAGCTCAACAGGATTTTTACCTAGATAATCTTGAAGTTTCAAGGATGACACACCAATCCTTTTAAACAGCAAAAAGGCACCTGTGAAGTTTCCAAGGAAAACCTCAGTGTCTGTAAGACACCATGAACAGAACAGTAAAAACAAAAAACAGTGGTGGTGTTTTAATTTAGAATGCATGTTTGTTGAGATTAAGTCTGTAATTGCAATCTGTTTATGATCAAATATTTTGAAACCGATCATATGACAGTTCAAATTGCAAAATGTTATAGGCTCTTGGAGAAGAAGGGGGATGAAATCTTAAGCACCTATTGGATAAAAAAAATTCAACTCCAACCTAAATTCCCAAATTACCAGCATAATAAGCATGGAAATATGGAACTCACCAAGTGAAATAATGCAGAAAGATATTAGAGTGCCCAGGGCTCCAAACAACAGTATAATTGAGAAGTTGCGAAAAAATTGTTTCTTCTTGACCTGGAAACTAGAAAAGAAAACACTTGGATATTCAAGAAGTGAAGAACAAAAATGTAAACAATAATTTGTTTGAACAAAAATGACGGTCTGGTAGCAATGAACAGATTATAAAAAAGCCACCTTCCTGTTGAATTCATTCAAATTCAAGAAAATGCATAAGAACTAGGGAATTGAAATAATCCGAAACACTTCTCTGCAAACTTGAGATTGAGGTGCATCCCAACTTATTCAAGGAGCACAAGAGAGTACAGGAACTCAGATCATAATCAAAATCTTACCCAGCATTGAAAATGATCGGGGGAAGCAGATAAATGAAGAACAATTCCTCACTGAAAGAAAGTATGTGCGAGTTCTTGCCTTTGGTCACTAACAATACAACAACTCCAGAGCACAAGCCCTAAAATGGCACATAACACCCGTCATATATGAAGAAAAACAGCACAACATCATTAGAACCAAAGGCTGGAATCCAAAATGGCAACGAACCAGAAGAAGGGCAGTGAAGGATTCGTTAGCCCATCTATTCTCTTCCAGGAGATGACCGATCACAATGCATGCACACAATAAGGTGAAGAACAGAGTCAAGGCAATAACAGTAGTCCAGTTAAGGAATGAGGAGGAACCAAATTTCAGTAAGAGAGTAGGTAAAGGAACAGAAATCTCCATTCTTTACCCCGTTCTCTGAAACAAGCCTCGCATTTGTAATTTCTGACGTTTGAGAGAGGAGAGAGGATTTCTGTAGATGAAACAGAGAGAGAGAGAGAGAGAGAGAGAGCATAATAAGAGAAGTAGAGAAGACTAAAGCAGGGAGACTGATGAATTAGAAGGGTAGTTTGCCGTAGGCCGTTAGCTGGGAAGCCGGACAGAGTCGACAGAGGCTAACGTAAGTTAAGGAGACACGTGCTACTCACATGTCACATCACGTGATGATAGTGCATACTACATAGTAGTTAACCGGATACCGGACGAAGCAATACCAACGACTTGTTTCTCTTCAACGCGTTGGAGTGGATTCGGATTCTCCGTGATTCGGACTATCAGTCCCTTGCATTTCCCAAGTCCGGATTAGACTTGTTCATGGGCCGGGCCGGGCTCGATTTTGCCTAAAATCTCCAGACACGAATCCAGCCTTTATATAAAGCCGGAAGTGTATATAAAATGTTTTATTTTTAATGTATTTTTATAAATTAATATTATATTAATTTAGTAATAATTTAATAAATTAATAAAATAATTTATATTTCCTAATAGTAAATTAATATTTATTAACAATTTAAGAAATAAATATATATTATATTTATTATATATAACATAAATGTTTTTTTATTATATGTAATAGTATCGGGTCGGGCTTATTTGAGAAAGCCTGAGCCCGACCCAAAAAATGACTAGGCCTGGTATTTAAAGCCCGAGCCTGATCTTGCGGGCTTGAAATTTTGTCCAAGCCCAAAAAATAATGGGTCGGGCCAGGCTGGGCCATCGGGTTACCTGACCCATGAATAGGTCTAGTCTGGATCTCCTACCAATAAAACATGTTCCAAGCCCTTATTAGCATAGAGTCCGGATCTCTTGCCCACAAGAACTCTGTCCACGTCTACCCACATAATATCGCATCCACACATGGAGATCATATCCACCTAAATAGGTGTTGTGAGTAGACTGGGGAGATGTTTCCAATACCCTGGGGTAGTGTGTTGTGAGTAGACTTGTTCATGGACCAGGCTCGGGCTTGGCTTTTGCCAAAATTTCAATGAACCCAACCCAAAAGCCCGGGCCCAACATAGTATAAAGTCAGGCCCAAAGCTGGGCCCGTAAACAAGTCCAATTGTGAATAGACGTGGATAGAGTTCTTGTGGGTAGGAGATCCAGTATCAACAACATGGTTTGACACCGCACATCTCATTCATGTCAGGTCCCACTTTTATGATGATCACAGTCTCATGGTGAGATGTGCGGTGTTAGATGAAGTTGTAGGGAATAGGAACATGTTTTGTTGGGAGAAAATCCCAACTCATCTTATGATCACACTCTATCCACGTCACTCTAATTGTGGGACCCACATATGCTTTAGGTGATTATCTGATTGGACTAATGTTGCATATACAGCTGGCTAAGTGACTCAGTTTTGTAAATCTTACCCTTGTCAATCCTCCGCGTATAAGTTGTCAATGACAAGATCCGATCCGACAGATCAAACTTTTTCCGATTGGGTCAGGTTAATTGTTTTGTACCAAGTCTCCACTTTGCAGCATTTCTGTCTCACGAATCACGATTGATCATCTTTCACGATACTTCAAAACTAGAGAAGGGGGCCCTGCATTGCAGGGGCTCGCTCATAAACTATTAGGCTTGAGGAGACTTGAGCTCAATTTAAGTCAAAAGCTTAGAAGTTCAAGCTCGACTACCTTTGATTGCAGGTCTCTTAAGCAGCCGAGGTGCCGAGTCGAGGTCTCCCTCAATTGCCAAGGTGCCAAACCAAGATCTCCCTCAGCTGCTGAAGTGTCGAGTTGAGGCTTCTCTAGCAAGCGAGGTATCGAGCTAAGGTCTCCCTTAGTTGACAAGGTGCCGAGCTGAGGTCTCCCTCAATTGTTGAAGTGCTGAACCGAGATCTCCCTCAGTAACCGAGGTGTCGAGCTGAGGTCTCCCTCAGTGGTTGAGATGTCGTCTAGCTTGAGCTCGATTAAAATTAGAGACTTGAGCTTGAGCTCAGAATTTCAAGATCGGATTGGCTCGAGCTCGACTACCTTTGGTTGTAGGTCCCCTAGAAGTCAAGATGCCGAGCTAAGGTCTCCCTCAGTTGGAGAGAGAGTGACATTCTTGTAATTTATAAGGGGGGGGGGGGGGAGAGAGAGAGATGGCATTCTTGTAATTTGTAAGAAAAAGAGAGAGAGTTGGTAGGAGAAAGAGTGGCATTCTTGTAATTTTTAAGAAAAAAAGGCAAAAAATATTTTTAGAATCCATTTTCCTCGTCCTCAAGCCTTCTTATGTACACATTTTAGCTTAATATATTTATATAGATTTCTGCTTTTTTTGATAAAAATTTCTAGGGTTTTTATTTTCATGTGGTGGATAGACTTGTTCATGAGCTGGGTAACCTGATGGGTTGGATTGGTCTGGCCTGGTCCATCCTAAATTGAGCTTAGAAAAAATTTTAAACCCATGGGCTCGGGCTCGAGCTCTGAAAACTAGGCCTGACTATTTTTTGGGCCAGGCTCAAGCTTTCCCAAATAATCCCGGCTCGAGCCCGAGTCAAAGAGCCCAATAATATTAAATATATAACAGATATGTAATATATATGTTAATAATACATAATATATATTATATAATAATAAAATTAATAGCAAAAAAAGTATTATATATATATTAAATGTATATAATATATAATACATTATTAATAATCTATAATTAACCTATACTACTTTAAAAAGCACGAATAGCCTCAATAATATTTCTAGATTTTTCTGAGGACAAAATTTACCTTTTCATATTTAAATTTATTGATAAAAAATGAGGACAAAAGGGTAATCAATTATTAATGTTAAATGAGTTGAAAAGAGACAATTATAAAATATTCAATGCATTCATTTTCTTCTCATTAAATCAAACACTTAAGGTTTTAGTTTGCATTCACCTTCATTGAATCATATATTTAAGGAATTTTTATTTCTTCTCATCATTAAATTCTATTAATTAAATCCATAAATAATAAATTAATAATTCCAATAACATAAAAACATACTTTTAAATTCTACCTGAAAAAAATAGCATTTTCATCTAGTCAATGGTAAGAAATTAAACCATTTCGGGTCAAATGAGCCAACCCATGATGTCACAATTAAATAATAAAATTAAAAAATAGATTAAATGCAAAAAATATAGAAATTAAAAAAATTGGGAACATTTTTAACATTATATATTCAACATATTAAACAATAATAAGTATTATAAATAATAAATATTTTTATTAATGATGGAAATGGAATGTAAAATTTAAAACCAATTAAAAATAAAACTATTTTCCTATTCTCTCTCATTAAATCTCATACTAAGGTATAATCTCTTATTAAATCCACAAAATTAATTTTAATATTATAAAAATAAATATTTTGGAAAAAACTATTTTCTTCCCTCCCAATGGTGGGTAAACAATTCATTATACTTTTAAAAATAGAAATGTAAATAATAACAAAAATAAAAATAGAAAAAATTTGGGCACATATCTAATGTTATATATTCATAAAAATAAATAGTGTGTACATTTCTAATAATATTCGTCCATTACCAATAATGGAAATGTAATATAAAATTTAGTGTCAACCTAGAAATCAAATTATTTTCCTTTTTGTGTTGTGGAATAGTGGTTTGGGTCAAACACATTAATTTATGATATAGTTAAATCATAAATTTAAAAAAATTAAAAAGTACAAATAATCAAAAGAATATATAAAAAATTAAATATTAATTATTCAAACAAAAATTAAGTATGATAAATAAAAATTATTTATATAATTTAAAACAAATCCGAAAGTAATGATATTTTATGGTGGATCAATGATCCAACTTTTCAAAGGAACTCATGATGTCATAATTGAATAATAAATATTTAAAAAAAGATAAAACACAAACAATGAAAAATTTAAAAATTCTATCACATTTGGGAATATTTATAATGTTATATATTCATCATAATAAATAAAAATAATTGTTAAAATAAAATTTATTTTTATTTATGGAAAAGATGGAATACAAAATTTAATAATAATAATAATAATAATAATAATAATAATTGTTATTGTAATTTAAAATTTTCACATGTAATGTACATGCACATTTACTACAAGCATTTGAGTTTATTTTAATCATATTGTTACTTTTGTTTATTTTCAATTTTTATCTTAATTATGATATATCTAAAACTCAAGTAATTAATATGAAAAAAAATTATCACGTGCAAGGCACGTGCTTAATTACTAGTATGCTATCAAATACCTATCAAAGTCGGGTTTCAGGCTCGGGCCCGGACTTTGAACTATAAATAGGACCGGGCTCGAGGTCAAGATCTAGGCCCGATGGTCGAGCCAGGCTTAGGCTTGGGCCTAATATTTTTATGCTTATAAAGAGGCAAAGCCCAGCTCAGACTATGAATAAGTCTAATGGGAGACCGAATCTGCTCCTCACACACACATCCTACCATGCATTGGAAACATTTCTTGTACTTATTAGTTATTATTCATGGAAGATGCTCCCAATGCAAGGTGGATGTACCTGTGAGGCGCCCATTTGTGAGGAGCAGATCCCGCTTCGTCTAATGGTGGGGTGTGACTGTAAGGTCAACATGAGGAGCAGATCCCAATTGGTGGTTTCTATCTCGCTCTGATGCACACAATACAGCCCGTAGTACTCAAGGAACACCATTTACGGGCAGAGCTGTAAACTGGGCCGTGCCTAATTTATGTTTGGAGGCCCTCAAGGTGCGTATCAATATGGTACAACAAACAAAATGGGCTGTGCTGAGTGGTCAGCCAGACGGCCCAGACACCATCCACCGAAGCATGGGTGACCCACAAAATCATATAGTACTGACCCGATACAGCCCACTTTACCCTTCTATTTACGGCTTGCTTCAGCATATTGGTTGGATATTTTGTTACTTTTAATTTTTATGAGGGTTTTTTTGGTTATTTGAGTAATTTAAATATTTTATTTAAGGATAAATTTCTTAAACTATCCCTATTATTTAGTTAATTAACAAATTATACTCTTACTATTTAAGCCACCCATATTGTTTCTGTCATCGTTGTTAATCTTAAGGAAAGCAAAATATCCCTTTTGCCCTTAAATTAAGAGAAGATTTTGAATCGATCCATTGTGAATTTCTTTAGTTTTTCACGGGTGCATCAGCTTCCGGCTGCCATTAATGAATAAATGGAGTTAGTCAATTTCTCTTGTATTTTTTTTTTTTTAATAAAAAAGAGTATAAAAAGCAATCAAGACACTGTATCTTTTCATGGCTTCAATCGGTTGTTGAACTTGCACCTTGAATTGGTAAGATGACAAATGGTTAATGTTAGCAACGGAAATCAACCTGGTTAGGAGACTCCGGATGGTTAATGTTAGCAAGAGATCATCATTCATCAGGTTTACATAATGTACAGACTAGAGAGTATAAACTGAGACGAAGAGCAAGGAGACAAATCAATACATATATGATGTGAAGGGAAGAAAAGTTCACACAGAAGAAAATAGAAAGTCATTTATAGCTGAGAGACTGAGACCTAAGAACAGAGTATCAAGGGTCCTTTTACATTGCCGAATCACGACATCGGAAGACTCTCAAACCTCTCCACTCTGATTTTCTTACGGTGATTTGTCCAATTCGGAGGAACCCTGATATAGTGTTGAGAGAGAGAGAAGGAACGATGATGACTTCCCATTACCAATTATTATCATCACCTCAAGACATTAGCGTTGTCAGTGAAACAAGCTTGAAGTTCATGAGACACCTCAACTGTTTCAAAACCCTAACATCAACAATTTTCCGTGACTCTTTTTTTTCTCAATCTTTTCCCTTCTTGTCGCTTTTCCATTCTCGATCCATCATCAATGTTGCCGCCAAGATTCCTCCATTTGTTTGCTGCATTGATTCTCCTCTTGGAGGTGGAGATCCTCCCTGTTGTCACCGATGTTGATGAGGGATAGTCCCGCTAGTGGGCAATAATTGTTATTCGGCTTACAGAAGAGGGATGGAGGTTAATATTGGGTTTTAAAAAAAAAATCTGTGTGAGACATATCATATGTGTACGAATTTTGATGGAATATTAACGGTAGATTTAGTTAATTGTTAGAAAACTTAAGGATACTCTAAGACTATATAAACAATAAGAGTACAATTTATCAATTAACTAAACAGTAGGAATAATTTAAGAAATTTGCCTTATATTTCAAATCGTAACTGTTCCATTCACAATTGTTAACTTTTATGGGAACTAGGAAAGAGGTGACAAAGGCTATTCTAAGATTTTTTGTTTTTTTGATTAATCAAGATGAGGGGATACATAAGGCAGGGGTAGCACTTCCCCAAATACCAGAACAAGAAATAGACCTTACAAAGCTAAGAATAGAGGGAAAAGATACAACGTTGGAAAGTGCAGCCTTAGTAAGCCAATCAGCTACACGATTACCTTCCCAATAGATATGACAGTAAACCACCTCGCCATCAATCCTCTCGATCAAAGACCTGCAACCTTCGATGATCAATCTCAACCTCCAAAGTGGATCCACGCAATTCTTCAAACTGTCGATAATTAGTTTAGAGTCTCCTTCGTGATGCTTTTGTTATTGAAGTTAAGGGCAAAAATGTGACTTTTCAAACAGCCCAAGCTTCAACAAGATTGATAATCGCACTTCCAACTTCATATTCTTTGAAATCCAAGATGGTGACTTCTAGCCACACATGCTATTGAGCACCGACTGTTGATGCAAGAAGAATCAAAATTAATTTTGATCTCATCCATCTTTGGACCATCTGACCGGAATACTTCCCTTCCGGATCACTGCTGGCTGAAAAAGCATATAAAAACACATGATTTCATCTTCATTTTTCTGAGATGCCTAACATGATAACCATGATGAATCTCTGATCGGTTTGGTTCGGTTTACTAAAACCGATTGACTCAAATCGGGGTGAATCGGACCAGTTTGGTCGGTTTTTAGTTTTATTCACTTTTGTTAGTTTGTTGCTTGGGCTGCAGGTTGCTTTAAAGTGACTTGCAAGGCAAGTTTCCTGATTATTAGCTTATATAAAAAAAGGAAAAATGTGTGAAAGCACTTTTTGACTTTACTTTTAATCTATATATTATCAATTGACAGCCTTTTCAACCTATTCCTTGCTCTAAGCCTTCTTTTCCGCCCCTATTCTCCCTGCATCACATTCATCGATTGATTGGTGTGGAAGCTTGTTCAATCTTAAGGGAAGAAGGATCAGAGCTTGACCGTCTTAAAAAAATATATATAGTAAGTTTTCTTCCACCTTTGTTGCATTTATTCAGTAGCAGCATCGATAGAAGGATGAGAAAAGGATTGAATTGATTTGGTATCTTTTTGGTTTCCTTCAGTTTAAAGTTTGCATAGTAGAAGATTAAAATAGGAAATAGTATAAATTATGATTAGTAGAGGATTGTGTTTATTCTTGATTTGGTATCTTTTTGGTTTCCTTCGGTTTAAAGTTTGCCTAGTAGAAGATAAAAGTAGGAAATACCGAAATAGTATGAATTATGATTAGGGAGAAAACTGCCTAGTATAAAATTAATATATCAGTTACTCTTCTTCATTTAGAATTAGTTCATACATCCAGATCTCACTAATATTGGATAATGCTAATGATATTTTGGAAGAGTTCAACGATGGTTGCATTTATTAATATTAGTTGCACATTAAATTAAATTTAGATCTCAATTCTGGGTGTTTGGCCTAGAGGCGTTCTGTTTTACAAGTGAGCCCTGATTCATAAGTAATTCATTTCATCCATTTTTTCAAAAAATATAAAATAAAAAAATCGGAATGCAAGTTAATTGAGCGTTTAAGGTAATATAGCTTAATATTATAATAACAACAGTGTGATATCTCAGATAAATAGTCAGCTTTTTTCAAATTTCAATGTGCCATATCACCAAGGCGATTCAGGATTGTTGAAACAATTCAAGAAACAGAAATTTGACCTTTCAATAAATCCTTCATTTCTCGATTTTTGCAGGTTTCATTTAATTGCTGATGTGACATGGTGTATTCAACCAATCATGTTTTTTGCTTTTCTACAAATATTTTTAATTTCCTTGAAACCCACCCAAATATAATAATGTGATGGGGCATTTGTGAGAGCCAACCTGCATATTTGAAATAAGGAAAAGGCTTATAGTTCTTGTATGACTGCTTGATTGATAATGCCATCTTGATCTCATTTGATATCTTTTGATGCTGCTATGTCTCATCTTCTTGTAGATGATTATCTAAGAATGGTTATACAATATTTACAGGAGCATTGAGGACCTGAGGACCTGACTTTTCAAGGAACAACACATGGCCAAGCATCATCCCGATTTGATTATGTGCAGAAAGCAGCCGGGAATTGCCATCGGGCGACTGTGCGAGAAATGCGACGGGAAGTGTGTGATTTGCGATTCACTAGTGCGCCCTTGCACGCTTGCCCGTGTCTGTGATGAATGTAACTATGGATCATTTCAAGGTCGATGCGTAGTCTGTGGAGGTGTGGGAATATCAGATGCATACTACTGCAAAGAGTGTACTCAGCAGGAGAAAGATAGGGATGGTTGTCCAAAGATTGTCAATTTGGGGAGTGCCAGAACAGATCTCTTTTATGAACGCAAGAAATATGGCTTTAAGAAAAGATGATTTATATTTGGGGTCCATCGGAATCGAAATGGTACATTCCCATAACTTGTTTGATTCAGCAGGAATGAGATTTCATTTCCAAGGAAAGAGTAAGGAATAACCATTCTCTCAAATAGGAAAATGCCATTCCTATAAAAATGATAATGGAATTCTGATTCCACCCAACCAAATAATTGGAATCAGAATCGGAATAACATATTCCGATTCTGATTCCAGACCTCTATTCCCACAAACCAAATGGGGCCTTAATCTTTCTGTTCTCCCTACATTAGTTTTCTTCCTCTATACAGAACGGTGAAAGGCTTTTGGTAGTTAAAGAACTTTGTAGGCATTAGAACCGAAATTTCCTTTGGTGGGTCTATATAATTTTAACTTAATGGGTCTATGCACTTTAACTTGAATCATATAAAAAATGCTCAAAGAATTTCAGTAATTTGATAGAGAGATACTGCATGGTACTTAAAATTTTGGATGTTTAAAGAAGCAATCTAGCTGTTTCAGAATATATTTAAATTGGATCTATTAACCATTACAACCGTTCTATGCGCTTGTGGTCACGTGGGTGTCTTGGAGTTGGAAGACATGTTCACGAAGACCAGCATGAATGTGATCTACAATTCTACAACTAATAATATTTCAATAACAAATATTAACTGAGCACTTTAATGCTCTGAATCTGGATTTCCTCCACAAACCCATCTCATAGTAAATTGCAACCATGCATTGGGAACACTTCCTCGCGAATAAAAACATACAAGTATGAAAGGTATTCCTGATGCACCACTGCAACTTACTATGACATGTGTGTGAGGACTGTTCTGTGAGGAGGAAATCCGAATTTTAATGCCCTGTGTTAGTTATGACACGAGTATAGATGTTACATGTGCCAGAATCCATGTGTCTCGTGTCATAACTAACACAAGGCATTAGAGTTCAGACTTCCTCCTCACAGAACGGTCCTCACACCCATGCCATAGTAAGTTGCAGCCACATGTCAGGAATATTTTCTGTACTTGTATGTTTTCATTCATGGGGAGATGTTCTCAATACATGGCTGCAACTTACTATGAGGTGATTTCAGTTGTGAGAGTCCAAAAAGCTTCCTAGAAATTTTGGTTTCAACTGCAACTTACTGTGAGAGTCCAGATTTCTCCCATCACAAAACTTTTTAGAAAATTTGATTTTCAGCTGCTTACTACTTTTAACCATAAAGGATGGCTTTCTAGACAGAATAACAAATAAGTACACCATGATTGAGGGCTGTGGAAGGCTGGGATCTCCCCAATAATCATAGAGCCAATGGTTTCTGGTTCTTTACAGTCCTAGTGAAGCTTTGCTGGTTGTTTTCACATTATTAACCCATTTAGTGACATTCATGTCTTTTGGCTCATGTTTTAACCATTTGGAAACAATGTTTTCACATTATTAACTCATTTAGAGTCAAGTTCTTAACCCATTAATAACCTCTAATTCGTTTTTTCTCCCTTGTCATCATGTGGAATCTGCTTCATACAAAACTGAGAAAGACAGCTCCTCATGTGGGCAACCCCTTGCCTAAATAAGGATAGTTCGTCTTTTCAGGAAAAGACAGTTGTTTAGGCTTAGGTTGGGAAGAGTGCAAATACAATACACTGACATCTCTTAAACTTGCATTGGCTGTTCAACACCTATAGAACCCCCTCCCCCCATCACACACTTTCATTCTTCATTTGTAGCAATATGTACCTATCAAGTCAACATAGGTGAGGTGACCAATTCACATGTGCCATCATTATTTTTTAAATAACAATTAAAATTGACCAACTAATCTATTTTATTAATCAAGGATCAATGTATCAGTATCGCAGTGTGCAGGGGGGGGGGGGTTGGATCATATTCACACTTTGTCTATCTTTTCTTCAAAAAAGGAATGCAACAATGGTTGATGATTCCTAATAAAACAGAAGCGATGAAGAAAAAAGGGTAGACAATTGAGCTGTTGATGTTTAGTACCATTATTGTTTATAGCTGAAACATTTTGGATTGATCATTATAAGTTGGCATATAACTGTTATTTGAGGCCGTTTATAGTTGAAACAGACATTAAAAATGCATGTGCCAGAGGCTGTTTGAAGAAATGTCAAATTGACGTTTCAGGTTGAAACAGCAATGGCACCAAACATAACCTAAGAAAATCCAATTTCAGAAATGAACTGAAATAAAATTAACAAGCGAAATTATTTAAAACATCCCCTAACTTAATGTCTAAAACTGAATAATGGTGTGAGTCGTGTAACTTGTGAGTGTAATTTGAGCATATCAATGGACATGTGCAGTAGGACCCATTAAACAATCTAGTTGAATATTCAGATTAGTTACCAAAAAAGTTTAATATTTACATTTGAGCATATCAATGGACAGCCAAATAAATGTAGTTCATTGCTTCCTTATTGTTATAATATAATATATGAGTCTGATATGAATAAATCGACAAAAATAGATAAAATGGTATCAGTTGTAGTGTTGCATGCATAGACATGGGAGTCAGAATCCAATGCATGTCCAAGACTCTGATTTGGCAAGATGAGAAAACATGGACTTGTGGACATGTCTATCAGTCTATGGAAAAGTATAAAGGTTATTAATATTCTATGAATTCTAAAATCATAATCCTATAAAAAATTACTGACTTTTGATAAAAAATGGATTATCTTGTAATTAGCTGTTCATTTATGTCAAATAAGGTAAAAGATAAAAACGAAATGTTATATTAAACCATCAAGAATTTGTGTTGGACTTGGATGCATGTCCAACCAGTGTTTTCAACTCGTCGTTGACCTGGCCGGTTGAACCATTCAAACTATCTCCCAATCAAGATTTCAGATCTGATTTTTAATAAAACCTGGTGAACGATCAAAAACCATCCAACTCAGATGGTTGGACCATTGACCTGTTTAACCTAGTCCGCTGTCCAATTGAGGTGGCTTTTTTTTTTTTTTTTTTTTTATTTTTAGGTAACTTTTCGAGACCCATGTCCCAAAGTGCCACATTTTCGTCAAACCCCCCTTTTTGGCCTCAATGCAATTTTTAATAATACATATATTACATGTAAAACATAATTATATATTATTTATTGATAAAATACACGCTTACACACATGCAACACTGATTAAAAGCAGATAAGATGCCAACAAATGAGTTACAGTTATTTTTGTAATTCGGAAATACAGACCATAAGAAAATATGGCATAAGAGCATGGTTTAAAGTATCAATACGATACGCCCCGTATCAGAAGTATCGTATTGTATCTTTTAAAAAAGATATGCTCCGAAACGCCTGTTTCCAGGTGTTTCGGACCCCAACTTTTTTTAATAATAAAAAACACGTTTTAAGCTTTCCAAAAAACCAAACTTTGAAAAAAAAAAACTAAAAAAAAGGTGTTTCAACTGTTTCTAAGTACCGATACGATACGGCCGAAATGTGTATCCTATCGCTACTTTGAACCTGTATACAATTTACAAAAGTTGCTGCAAGGGATCTCTTGGAGGTATAAAAGCCGGGGTAAGTATTAGGTATTTGCCACCCAAGTGAGGGGGAGGTTTTAGATAATTTCCCGATTAATGGGGTAGGTGCATATTGGAATTTGACAAAATGTTGGATTCAACAAACCCTGAAAACTACCTCAATGGCATGGAAATCACAACCACAGCATTAAGAAATGCATATCATGGGTTCTTCCAATAGAAATAAGTTATTATTTTCATTAATGTAAGCATATTAATAAAATACTTTTTTCATGTAGATTCTTTTCTTGTGAGAAGAAAGCAATTGTCAATTTTTACCAATGTTGACAGACTGCCTAATCATGTATTCATATCACAGGTGAATTTCGAGCAGGGTGAACAACTACGATTTCAAGATTCAATACCAAATCCAGAGTAAAAAATTATGATACCAAATCTAGTATTTGATTGTGTAGAAGTTCATATGTAAGGATGATTATCTCAAGGAATAATCTGCAACTAATATAAACATGCATGAACCTCATGGAAGCATTTACTACTTGAATAAACCTTACAAAGATGACAGTAATAAGTTTTTCCAAATAAAAAAAGAAAAAGAAAAAGTAATAATCGTTAAATAAATACAAGAGGTATAACATTTCTAGAGGACTGGCCTAATTTACAAGCCAGGTTATGACACATTTACAGTTGGAGAGATGTTACCATAACCCAGTTCATCTTTAGATCAGTCCACAAGGCAACTATATTGGGCATATTTGAAGAGGTCAATCAGTAGCTTAAATGCAAATTGGCTGTAATATGGAAATACACCATGCAACAGAGCCCTAATGCCAAGAGCTCTGGCCATCAGATTTCTTCACCAGAGGAAAAATACCATTATAGCCATTGTCTCTGTATAGCATGGTTTTCTAGGTCCTTGAGGTACAAGGTCAATGGCGAAAAGTCCTTACAATCTGCTCAATCCGTCTCCGGCAAAGTGGACAGTTGGTCAGGTGTGAAAAGCATGATGTACAGCAACACATATGACCACACCTAAAAGTTTTAGATCTTGTGAATGCTTTGCAAGTATTAGCTACTAAAAGCACAAAATCAGTAAGGCAATATATAACAATTTAGGATTATAGACTAAAAAACAAAATAGAATCATTCCCTTTTATATGCTAGTCCGAAATGCATTTTGGAATGATTAACTGATATTCAATTCCTATCAGAAAATCTAATTGCTAATAATCAGATTTAAGGTTATAGCCAACACTAGCCAGCTGAGGTATCCAGTAATTACCAGCATGGTAAGGCTAGACAATAGCTGATCATTACTGCCATAAATTATCCCATATATCCCTTCCATCCATGATATTAAGGACTCTCAACAAAAGCAGAGCTTTGCAACTTCTTGTTGTGGTGTCATGTCCTTCCAGAAATGTCCTCTCTAGAGAACCTTTTGGGTATGAAAGGGTTTCAAGGGAAAACAATGAAATCCAATCATGAAACTGGCACTATCAGGACATTCATATTCTTTAAATAAAATAGTTTATTAGGGTGCTTACGGAACAAAAACAGCATTATACTCCTGCTCCAGACATATCACACACTTGTCTGATCCATTTTCAGCCTTTCCATTAGAACCTGCATATTAATTCCAATATTCCAAAATTATACAAGAACAAATGCAATTAATGAAGTTAGACATTCTGCAACATGCCTTCACTATCCTGCCCTGATCTTTGTGCAGCAGCAGCAAGAACCCTGAAACAACAAGAAGTCATTGTATTTTCCTCTTTAGAATTGAAAGATTGAAGCACATTAAACATTCATAGTGACAAGGAGTGTCAGCTGGAGGAATCCAGAAAATGGTTTGGCATAATCAAGAAGAAAATATTTTAGGGCAACTTCTGATTGACTCTAGTTTCAATTTCCTTTTTCCTCCTTTTCTGATAGTAAGAATTGGTTAAAAATCACGGAAAAGGAACAATAGAAAATTATGAAGAAGGCAAGTGATAAAAAAAATACTTAAGAAAGAGGGAAAAGGGAGAATTAACAAAAACACAATTGCTACGGCATCATCTGTATGAAAAAAAATACAATCAAGAACCCACACTCTCATCAACCCTGAGAGAAACCAAACAAATAGACCTATCAAACTCCCTGACAACTACAACCAACAAAAAAGAGAGATGCTCTGAGGGAGTACAATCCTGTTTCAAACTAGTTTAACCATCTGGATAAATCTGATTTTTTAACACACCAATCATAAACATCTTCAGCCAGTTCAATTCAATGTTTTAAAGTGCGGAGGCATCCCACTACCTGGAGGTGTGAGGTGTAGTTCAGAATGTAAGAGGCGTAAGCCTCCTTAAGAGGAGGGGGATGAGGAGGAAGAAAAAGGAGGATCTCATCTTTTTTTTTTTGTTTTTAATGAAAGATGTCTTGTATTAGGAAGAATGAAGATGCTAGGGGGAGGGGGGGCCTTCTTGAAACTTTTTTTCCTCTTCTCTTCTCTTCTCTTTCCTTCTCTTCCCTTCCCTTTTCTTTTCTTTCTTTTATTTTTCTTCTCTTTTCTTTCTTTCTTTTTCTTTCCCTTCCCTTCCCTTTTTTATTTTTTGTCTTTTTGTATGAAGCGTGCATGAGGCACATGAAGCATACACCTCTAGCACATCTCATGCAAAAGGCAATATGAAGCATATGCCTCAGAGGCATCAATACCTCTGGCATATGCCTTAGGGCGTTTTGGGGGCACCTCCAGGCATATGCCTCCCAGCCTTTTTAAAACACTGGTTTCAATTATGGACTGGACTGATTCCTATAGAGGATCTGTAACTACCTCATTTTGGAATCAATCCATGACATAGTATCTTAATAATCTTGCTTCCTAAAAACTAAACTGGTATTACTGTACGAGGGCCATATGGAGAGGTACAAAATTTCGGAAACTTCTGGAAGCTGGTATAACATGAAAAGTGAACAAATCGTTGCCTGATAGTTTGGCTAGGTGAGGTGTATGTAGAGTGAATTTTATTGGGGATCAACCCTCAGGAACAGCTTTTTTCAAAATTAACTGTGACATCTTTTCTACTCTGATGTTCATCTTTCAAACACAAATCATATATTTGATTTCACAAGGAACAAGCAGACACTACTACCAAATTTGAGACCAAACGCAAATACCTTGTCAAATTCAAATCAACAAACATTGAAATTGTTGAAATCATAGAGTTCAAGAAATTGGAGCTGAGAAGAGGGAAGACTAAGAGTGGAGAACTGAAGGAATAGATGGGGTTTGGTGTTCAAGAAATTTACAAGGATATATATCATGCATTCTCATATTGAGGGGTGGAGCCAATATCAGCTTTTCAAGATAAGATCATTGGGTTCAATGTTTTAAAATGCAGAGGCATGACATGAAGCGCTCCACTACTCAAAAGGAGTGGAAGAATAAACCTACTCAAAAGGAGGAGGAAGAAGAAGAAGAAAAAAAAGAAGGAAGAGGATAAAGAGTTCTTGTTCTTCTTCCTTCTTTTTGATGAAAGATATCTTGCATTAAGAAAAATGAAGGATGTATAACGCTAACTGAAAGGGGCTGTTGAAGTGGAGGTGAGCAAGCAAGCTAGAGTGGAGACAGGACACCCTAGCACAAGAAACCAAATTGGACTGCATTAGAAAGGTGTTGGGGGGTCCAGACCCAGACTTCCATTCCTTTCCCTTTATTTTCTTTTCTCTGTAAAAGGCATACCAGAGGTGTTTACCTCATGCAAAAGGTGTTTGAGGTGTATGCCTCAAAGGCATCAACACCTCCAGCATATGCCTCAGGGCATTTTGAGTGCACCTCACATGGAGGCGATGTTTCACATGCTTTTAGAAACACAGTTTGGGTTGGCAGTTTTATGGAAGTTGCTTTGCTTGTGAGAGATTTCAGGTTCTATGTTCGAAGAAAAGGTTGATTAATTAGATTATTTCTTTTTGGTGGCTGGGTTGTTCAAATGATGGTGAATTTGGAAAGTCGACCTGTTGGCTAGCTTGCTGGTTTTGCAAGTAATTGGTTTTGAAATGTTCTAGTTTATGGGTTTGCTTTTCCAAAAGCTTCATGGTTTTGTTTGAGCATTCTCTAAGCATTCTTTCATTGTGTTTGCATCCTTTTTGTTAGTAAAATTTATTTCTATTTTAATATCAAAGAAGATCATGGAGATCAAGGGCAAAATCACCCATATCATTAAGAAAGTTGCTTTATTTAAATACCCAAGCTTTCCATTAGATTGTATTCAGCTTATAATCAACCATTTAAATCTCAAAGAAAAAGAAACTTTACCTTCTCTGCAAATCCCAACGCCGTCTTCTTTCTATGATATATTGGATGGCATGCTTAGCAATCAAATAAACACCAAAAATTGTGAAACCCATGGAGGAATACTTGTACCACCTGGAGGAAATATCCATTCAATTCAAGTAAATACAATAGAGAAAAAACTAAGAGAATGTTTGCACCATAAGTATGTCAGTAAACAAACCTTGCCTGTTTCCCAAGATTTGCAATGAGCTGATCAATACTTTTGGGAGACACATAAAATGGCCCTTTGGGGGGTCGCTGAATTCGAATTGTTCCAATGTCATCTTTGACAGCCTAAGTAGAAAATACAAGGTACATTAAAAAAAATGGAAATTTCAATTGTTATCTAATATGATTAAAGAAATTCAATGGGACCTAATGATCAAACTGTAGAGGATTGTGGACCATTTTTCATACTATTTTCCTACTTAATTACTTATATCTGATGGTTAGGATTCATCAAATGAAAGGAACTTATGTTCATGTTGACAAAACATAGCTGGTTTAAAATTTGGACACCCGAATTAATGACCAAGTGTACCATGTGTTGTTAAATAACTATGATAAGGAACATGAAATTAGACTACCAGTCAAATATAGCAAACCTATTTGATGAGTCCCCTTCAAGATGTGGCTGGTTGATTGAATGCCCCTGCTTGATGAGTAAGTGCAGAATGCAACAAGGTATTGGTTGGCTCAATGAAGAGGTAGAGCTCAGTTTTTTATCATATATTTTTATGTTGTAATTAGCAGTTGCAATCTCATACAGCACCAGTAAGAAGTAATCTATTACAAGTTAGGGCCTAGAAGAACTAGGGGCAGGCCAAAAAGGACAATGGTTGAAGTAGTGAGAAATGATCTAAGGGCCCACAATTTAACAATGGATATGGCACCAAATAAGATGGAATAGTAGAACAGGATTTATGTAGCTGACTCTGTATGGTTTGGACAAGACTTAGATGATGATGATGATGGGTTGCAGTGAGAATACTAGACATTTTAATGTGCACATTCCATATTCACTGCCCAGTTTATGGAGGTGTTGAGTTGTAGCCAATGTCTATTTTGGTTTATTTAGTAAAATCTCTTCCATCAGGGTCTACCATTTCCTTTTATCAATAATTTTTTTTTTTTTACTTTTCCTTACTATTTAAAAAATAAAAAACAATATGATATCACATAGTACAAACCTTCTCCCTTTGACATAGACTAGAAGGACAAAGCACACTATAAAGACTGACCAAGACACTCAGCAATGGGAGACAATACAAAGTTGACCCAATAACCCCATATCCCCATGGAGGGGATACAATTAATCCCTCTCTAACCATAAAGACTGATCAAGAAACTAAGTGACAGGTAACAATACAAAGTTGACCTGGTACCCCCTCCCCCCACACAGAATAAAATAAACCTCTCTCTAACCAAACTCTCCTATTTGCAGATGATGTCATTCTGTTCCTAGAAGCAGATTTGGAGAACATCAGAAGTATGAAAAGAGTGCTTCAATGCTTTGAATTAGTCTCCGGGTTGACGGTTAATTACTCAAAGATTTGACACACAAAGTGGCTACTCTCAGACTCTAACCAACATTTTCATGCTTGTCAGCTCAAGATTTTTTCATTGCATCAACAATGGCCCCTATTGTCCAGCCCTTTCTTCAGAGTTTAGGACATCTTACCTACCGACCAATAGAATATCATCAAAGATGCTCAGGAAATTCTAATCAAATCGTTTTATCCCAGAAGATCTCCTAAGTGGGCAAGAAAATGATGAGGTGATGTATGAGCTTAGAAGAAAAATCATATGCACTAGGTAAAACTTTGGTGCTTATGAGAAAATTGTCCCTAGGCTGCTTTTGGTAAGAATGCAAATAAAAATATGTTTACTGCTGTTAGAGAATAAAAACTTACTCAGGGGCTTCACCTAACAGCTTAAGCTTTTAGGTTGAATGGTTCCTTAACATGGTATTAGAGGAGCCTGTTGATCAAGTGGTCTAGTGTTTGAGCCTTGTTGCCCCCATTATAATTAATTAAATTTCAGCACAAGTTATGGGTGAGCCTGTTCTTGATCACACTTCAAGCTCGATAGTCTTTTGCGGGAGGGGGCCTGTTAGAGAATAAAAACTTATTCAGGGAACTCACCTAACAGCTTAAGCTTTTAAGTTGAATGGCTCCTTGACAAGTGCAAATACAAATATGAATGGTTAACGAAAACAAATGCAAAATTGGTTTATTTTTGCATTGATAAATTTTGTTTTTAGCCAAACGGTATTGGTTGTGATGGGTACAAACATGAATTCCAAGACTGGAATCCACTTTTTACATTGACCAACTTTGAGTGCATTGGATGAAAACTCTGCTCCCGTTTTGAATGCAAACATGTCTTGGAATTCATAATTTCTGTCATTTTCAGTACACAAATGTATTCTTACCAAATGCCTGCAAAACTGAACCGGAGTACAAATTAACTTTGGCTCAGTTTGGAAGGTGCACAAACACAAAGATGTAGAGTGCAAAACCTTGTATTTTGTATTATTTTTTTATGTATTTGCACCATACATATTTGTATTTGTACTCTTCCCAAACTGAGCATTTGGTTCAGCATTTGCACTGTTACCAAATGTAGCCTTTTAAGTCAACCACATTGGTAACTAAGGTTCCTTACTCCTATGAATTGGTTCTTACAGGCCTCAAGCACCAAATTCCAACATGGGTACATGTATGTTTATGCCTTCATGTTTTTGTAATATAAGGGGAGTCCCAAGATATTTTAGGATACCTCACCCACAACCGTGAAGGAGGTACCAGTAGGAAGAACCCTTTCAATTCGCTTGACCCCAAGCATCTGCATAAACATAATGACCATCAGATCTAAATCCAATTGCCTAATTTCTACAAGAAATAAATTACCAAATACAACAAACCTTGAGGCCTTGGAGATAGTCCAGTGTTCCACGTACAAGAGACCGCCCTGACTCCTCAAAGACTTCACTTGCGACAGTTAACACCAAGCCTGTAGCACCTCGAGCCCCCACAACATATACATGACCAGTCCCATCATCCTGATAAAATGTTAATAATAGGAAAACATACAAAAAAGGCACATCTCCTGAAAGGGTCTATTTTACAAACAGGGAAATACATTTATTGATAAGATTGCAGCATCAAGTATTTGCTCTTGTTCAGGGTGCCTGCTCATAAGGAAACTATGATTTATCATTTAGTTTGTCATTAAATATTATATGCTACTAAAGAAGTCAATGCTTCATAAGGTCAAAAGACCCTTCCCAACCAATGAGCTCTATTTTTCCCAGTGTTCTGAAAAGCACTAGTGGTGTATGCTTGGAGGCATACCTCCAGGTGGCACGACAATAAAACATCCATAGACACACTATAGAGGCATGGACATATGCCTATAGGTGCATATAAAAGTTAAAATCTCTTAAAAGGCATATGCCTCTGGTGTATACTTTGAAGTTAATATTTTATGTTAAAATATTATAAATCAAAAGGAGGGCCACTTTTTTTATCTTGCTTTCCATCAAAATAAAGGAGGAACCCCTCAAAACAACAAATCCCTTTTTCATTTTTGCAAAAAGAAAATGAGGGGTTCTTAGGGATTCCTATTTGCCTTTGAGCAAGAAGAAGAATTAAATAAGGTGACCCTATCTGAATGGTGTTGTATGTTGTCTATCTACCAATGTGACTCAGGAATGAATTTAGCACTCAAATATTGACAATTTGACATAAAAAAAAAAGATTATTACCCAATGTTGATCCCTGCTATCTGGGTTCTTGGGAGGGATAGACCTTTTTTTTTAGTGCACAAAGTGGCAGCCCTCAGACTCGAGATTTTACCATTACACCATGTAATGCCCCCTGGCAATTTGACATTAAGCTTTATCAATGGTACCATTCATAATTATCGGTTTTATATATGAATGTAATATTACTATAATTTTTCTGTTTTTTCCTTTTTTCGAAAATTCCTCTGTATTTTATTATTTTATTTTGATTACTTAGTAATTAGAAAATATATGTTTGGGAGACTTACATCACTTGCTTTTTAGTTTATGCCTCATGCCTTAGAATAGTAGAACACACCACGTCATGCCTCCACATTTTTTCCTTTTCTTTTTTTCTTATCAAGTAAAAAAACAATCATTATAGAAGAATTTGAAAAGATGGAAATCGCTTCATATGTACAAATAGTAGTGAAAGCACCATATATTTATTGTGCTTAGTCAAGGAAGAATTCAGATACAATCTTTTCTACAGACCACTGACCAAGTGACCACAAAAGAAAATGAGGAAAAAGAAGCAAATACCAGATACCAAGGAACCTCTTTACTCATAGACAGCATCAAAACTGAATCTTGTATCCATGAGCCAGCATCATTGTGCTTCAAAAAGTGTTGTTCTGCCTGGAGGAGATAAAGACAAAAATAAAAATTGAATCAGATAGAATCAGATGAATAAGTACAATTTGACTTGGATTAACTTGGAATTATATAATCTAAGCGCATACAGTTTCCTCCACTATTACACCTCTCAACCCATTCTTGCAATTGATTGGTGTGTCAGAGCCAACCCGTCCAAAAATGGTAACAACCATAGGTACTAATTTACATGCAGTATCCAGGAGCTGTGCTGTAAATTGCAGAGATAGAAACCAATATTTGTTAAATGCTTAATATTTAAGATAATAACGATACTGTCAATCAAAACCAATCAAAAAAATAAATAAAATAATGACTGTTGATAAAAAATGTTTCACTTAGTTTTTCAACTTTGCATCAAATCTTTTGAAAAAAAAAAAATCTTGTAAATGCACATGTCTATACATAATAAACAAGAGGTTTTAAAATAAGTAGGACTAAAATAGAATATATGCTAGTAATAGGAATCTAAATTAGGGTACACTTAGGATTGGAGACCAAGAGATAACACAATAAGGCCTTTTCCGGTACCTTGGTTCAATAATAAATAACAAGGGATAGATTGAGAAGAATGTAGCCCATAGAATAACAGCAGGATGGGCAAAACAGAGAGTGCATTCAGAGTCTTATGATAGGCAAATATCATTTAGATTTTTTATAAAATAGTTGTAAGGCCAGCTATGCTGCTGTATGGAGCGAAGTGTTGGGCAGTCAAGAAACATGTCCAAAAAATGAATGTTGCAGAAATTCGCATGATGAGTTGGATGAGTGGAAAAACTAAAAAGGATAGGACAAAAAATGAAGTCATTCAAGGGAACCTAGAGTAGCTCCATTAGGTGATAAAAATGAGATAAAGTAGACAAATAGTTTGGTCACGTGCATAAAAGACCATTGGCAGCACTAGAAAGAAAAAGTGGAAGGGGCTAGAAGTGTAGACCAAAAGGGACACAGGTCAAAGTAATAAGAAATGGTTTAAGCGCTTATAATTTAATAATGAATATGATATTAAACAGAAGGAATGGCAAAACAGGATTCACGTAGATGACTCCATATAGTTGGGATAAGGTTTGGATTATGATGAAATAAGACAAATAGAACCGCCCTAAAGGGAAAAACCAAAGCAGCCGACGACCTCGAACTGGAGCGGCCTGCAGAGCAAGGCGAGGAACGAACTTCGCCCACAGAAGAAACAGTCGCAATCCCGACTTCGGCTACGGACCCAGCTCGCACACTCTAGATCGGTGCTTCCGTCGAGGAACCCCTACGGACCGAACTGGTGAGTTTTTTACTTCAAAATTTAGATATTTTTGCATGGTCCGCGGCCA